CCCCCCCCCGCTCGTAAATCGCGATACCGTCAATTAGCCGGGCGCTGTCATTACCAGAGACGGGGTGGCTTACTTTATAGTTCGACGCGCTCGAACGGTCCTGCGATTGGTCCTTACTCTTCTTGATCGCCGTTCGGTAAGAGGATCTCCTATAGTCGTTATGTTCATCGCTGTGATCGTCGTGGACAGCGGCCACGACGACATTCGCCGGCCTGCCGGTAGAAGACGGGACAACCGTAACCTCTGGCACCCTTTCGTCCTTACGCTCTTTGACAAAACCGCTGCTAAGGCGTCTTCGATCGTTGTGGCTTCTTCTGTTCCTGACTGTCACATCTGCCGTCGAATCGATGACCTCCCTCTGGCCACCGCATTTGTTCTTGAATATCTCCTCGAACGCGGTCGTCACGGCGCGTCTGAAGTACGCTTTCTGTTTGCTTTTGTCCTCGCCATCACCACCACCGTCGCGGAGTTTCGTAGCCTCGACAGCGCGAGACGTTGGCCGTTCTGCGGGCGTCGTGGTCGCCGAGCTCTTCCTTCGCCTGTTACGACCTCCGTCCAACGCTGCCCAACGGTCACGAGCCGCCTACATTCGAAAGTAACGTTTTACACAGCTACTTCCCGGAAGCAGAGAAATTCAGGGGACATTAGTCCTCTCGACACGACTTGCAGTCTTGCACAGGTAAGACGGATTTTCATTCAGATTTTTGCAGTCTTCACAAACAAACAGCGACCAGGCAAACGGGTGACAGCAACACAGAAAACGTTAATCGAAAGTCATGCAACCATATAATACCATGTGGTACCCCAAATGCGACTGGAACCGTGGATTTGTACCGTGCGTGCGTCTATAGGACACTTTGTTTCTAAGTTGGTTGTCGTACTGCGTAAGCAACATAGCAAAAATCATATTAGATACTATGTGATATAAGATGGGTTTAACAGGACTATCAGTCATTAAAAAAATGAGTCCGTCCTTATGTCGCGAGTCTGCGGTCAGTGACGACCGCAGCTGTTGCAGGGGCTAATAAGGCAACAGCTTTCTTCGCTATTCGTTCCATTTTGCATTCGTGATTCAGCAACAGTCAATTGTGTTGGTCCAATAAAGAAACTTAGTTTTCGTCAAAATAAAACGCTGAATACCCTGGAGAACTCAAGTAATAAATTGTATTTATTGTAACAGGTTCATATGGAGGTGTAAACAGAATCTGCGTAGAACGTTGCAATAGTTAAATGCTAAAGAAGAGAGGGACAAGAGAACAGGGGGAAAACGATGGGCACCGTCTGTACTTATGTTCAGAGGTCATAATTAGGCACCATGCCATCATGCTAATTTATGTCCAGAGGATTACAATCACTTAAGGCTGATCGAAAGTGAATTCCTTTGATTTCACACGTAAAAAAAGACCAAACGAGTATATCGGAAACACCGTTTAAGCACAGATACTGCCGGGAAGAAAAGAAGGTGAAGACAAAAAAGATGCGCGATAACCTAAAGAAGGAAATGATACTGCGAAGCGTGACAGAAGATTTGACCAAAGACTGAAGCAATGTCAAGGCTTTGGCTCAAACCTTGGAACTCTGTCAATGGAAACACGTTAGGAAGAACTAAGACGAAGAGGCAGGAAAAATTTACTCTGAGTGACATTTCTGAAGCATGCATTTGATTAAGGAGTCGAAATAAATCGATATAAAAATGACATACATGAATTCATAAATGAGTTTAACAGTTCAAGAATGTGAAAAACGGTCGTGCGACTGAAAATAAAATATTTCTTAAATTTTCACAGTCCCAGAACAGTGTGTTCATTTACCAGTGAGACGACTGCAATTCACGTTGGACACTATTTGTAACGCTGATGATGAAACACCGTTATGGAGTTCTGAAAGATCCGTGTTGAATAAATATGGTATCTTTTAACGGCTACATCTTATCGCATTAAGGAGGAGGGGCGGTGGTACACCGAACAAGATGTAGACCTCGAGTTCCGGAGGTGCCGGATTCCAATTCCCAAGAAGACATGGTTTGCTTTACGTGCGA